ATTTTATTTTTACTTCCCCCACCCAAAAGATTTGTTTGTTTTTCACTTGAAATGTACAGTTTACAGGTCACAATAAAGGTGGAAAAGGTTCTGAATTTATCTTTGTCTAACTTGTTTTACATCACAGAAACCTGACATTTTAACAGGGGTGTGTGCTTTTTAAATCCACTGTACATATACACGTAGCACTGCACTTTTGTTATTAATTTATCAACTCACATCGGTTGATGTGTTAGCTGCATTTGCTTACCCTGTAGCGCAATTTCAATTGTAACACATTTTCAAAAGTTAACTCGAATGAATATTAATCATTATTGCCTCGTCAACATGCCAGGAGTTTTCAAAATCAATTTCTAGTGTAAAGCATTTTTGTATATGTCAGGCCGTTTCTTATAAGTGGCCCAAAACAGGGGTTAGGGTACAAAAAAAAATACAAAATGTTAAAACTGAGTAACAAAGCCCAAGGTACATTGCTGGTAAATATACAAACAGATTGTGCCCTCAGAGCCATATTACATACAGAAAAGTGGTAAATAGAGTGTTACATATGAAGAAAAGTGTACAGTTAACTAAACTATTATACTGTTAAAGATGGGCACCAATCGGGGACTAGATCTGTACCTCTGGGAGTGAGCTTTGCCTGTGTACTATCCATCAGTGTGGACTTATAGGCATCCAGTGTCTGTTTAGTCAAAATGGTCTCTCCTCTGGTGGACTGTCACGACTCTACTCATGTTAGCCTGGGTCATCAACAAAGTCTAAAGAGAGGAAATCTTATACAGCATTTGAGTTATTTATTTTCTAGAGAGAGTGGGTGATACTAAAGAAACGTCCGATCATTACCCATTGGGTCAAACATGTATGTCTTATCTAAAGAGTCTGTCCAGATTGGGGGGGGGGGCGTCCTGGGGTCTCCAACCAACCACCCCACAGCTTCATAAATTTAGCGGCGGAATCCCCCATATTGATATACTAGATGTTGACGTGGGGCATGGCAGGGGTACATGCACATCGGGGAAAGAGCACGCATGTTTGTAAAGGTCTTGGAAATGTAACTAAAATCCTCCAGGAGGAAATTGTTAGACATCTGGAATATATATTCCTATCTAAAACTTTGACTTCCTTTATGTAAACCCGTAATGTTAATAATTCTTAAAGTTATATATTTTGAAAATTGAGAGGAAGGAGTCTAGGATGGTGTTGCTGGGCAAAGTAAGCATACTGGTTTACTAGTTGTTTCTACTGTTAATGCTGCTAAATATTTTCAAATGGCATTTATCTAAAAAAAAAAAAAAAAAAAAATAGATGTAGCACAAGATGTCATAGTAAACAACAATCCTCTGACAGGCTTGTGGCTTTCTTGCAGGTAAAATTATTGAAGGGTAAGATGGTAAAACATACATTTCAGCTACTTATTTTGAGGCATATTTTTGGATTCCCTACAACTTTATGAGGGCAATGGATTTCAATTAACTATTGACCAAAACAGCTCTCTAATACTGACCTCTCATGGATAAAGACCTTCAAACACTTTCTATCAGAATACTGCATCATAGATGAATTATTCATGCAATTTTATTTATTCTGTACTGCAATAAAAAAAAAAAGGATACTATTTTTAAATGCCCTTTAAAGTGTGATGGTGCACTGATGATAATGTCTAAAAAGGCATATGTCTTTGAAGCAATAACAGTAGTGTTCATGGTAAGAGGTTCCTAGTTTGGAAGGCGTCGAAAAAACAGACTTCAAAAGGAATGAATTGCTCACATTCAAAAATGACATGAGGCAACATTCAGGAATATATATTCCCACTATAGTTCCTGGTTCTGTTCCAAACCATCCTGGAGGCTCTTTACCTGCTAAAACAAAATTACAGCTCATGCTTTCTCCATAATGGAGAAAAGCAAACAAAAAAAGCCCCACACCAGTATCCTCTGGCCATTTTCATGTCCCTTATCAGCAAGAGAAGGCAGAGGTTGAGATTATTGAGTATGTCCAATTTATAACAATATAATAATATATAATTATATTATAATGTACAAGAAAAAAAAATACAGTTTCTACTCCTAGGACGACTCACGTTCACTGGAAGTGGAACTGGAAACACTAGAAAGCAGAAAGATACATATTTATGCAAATGGAAGGGCTTAAGATCTAAGAAATTTTAAAGAAATGATATTAATTGTAAGGAAAATCAGCATTTTCCCCAGCACCCCACAGCAGCAATTTATCAAAATGTATTAAAAGCCAGAAGCAAGGTGTGAACACAGCTTGGTCACTGACTACAAATGCAAACAACTAGACCAGACTCAGTATCAAGGTTATGATGCTTAGCAGGTAGGGTGATTTACCAGTGCAGTGGTTCTCCAATTGTGGTTAATTAAAGCAAAGGGTTTTTCAATCCAGTAGGCAAAAACATCCACCTGAGAGCCCACAAAAATAAGGGCTTATGAAAGATTTTATAATTCTCCTAAAATTAAAAGCTTCGCTTGGTCCTAGGTTTCACGCCACTGTTGAGGTCAGACTGAACCTGTCAGGTCCTACAAATCTAGCATCACAGACAAAGCAAAGGCAACCAAAACCATGTAGCTGTCTTTGAATCAACAGAACAATGTCCTGGGACCCCCTATCCAAATGTCAAACATACAGTAGCTTTTTTTTTTCTTTTTTAAATGGCCTGGTTCACACTATTGCGGGTGGTTGCGGGTAACACAGTGATTCCTGCAGCTGCAACCACCCGCAGTCAAAATGAGCTGCTGTTTAAAAATGTGTGGGGCTGCCAATCATTCCTAATGGCACCCCACACATGTAAAAACGCAGCACATTTGCAAGTGGGGAAACCACACGGAAATGGCATGGTGCACCACAGGAAAATTGCAAAAGCACCATGCAATTTCTTGGCTGCTGCATTTTTAAAATGCTGCAGGAATCTTTGTCCGGTGTGAAACGCAGGCACAGCAGCACATTCAATTCAACCCACAATAGTGTGAGCAAGGCCTTAAGGCCCCTTTGACAAGGGGTAAATCCACGTTGCTCAGCAGATCTGTGTTGAGTGCCTGTGTCCGGTCAGTTTATGAAGAGCAGACAAGGACAGAGCCTGCTCTGCTCTATGGATGGTTGGGAGTAAACGGACTGGCTGCCCGTTTACACCAGACTACATCTGATCTGCCTAAACCAAGGAGGAGGGATCCTCATCTGTTTGTTTTTATCTCACTGGATTGGACTGGAGGTAATCAGGTTTTAAACGGCCATAATTCCTTTTACACCCACTGGTCCATAGAAATGGATAGACTGCCCCATCAGGTCCGCCTGGAAAACTGACAGGTGAACCTGATCAAAACAGTCATGTGAAAGGGTATTAATGCTGCTGATCTCCTTCAGAGTTTTTGCAGTCACTGTCAGTCTATATTCAGTTGCGTGCAATTGCTTAGGGAAGTACCGTATTTTTCGCTCCATAAGACGCACTTTTTTCCCCCAAAAAAAGAGGGGAAAATGTTAGTGCGTCTTATGGAGCGAATATGGAGCGGCCGGTCCGGTATTTCCACTGCCCACCGTTGTGTCAGAATATCGGGCCGGCCGCTCAGCTCTGCAGCGGGACCTTATGGAGATGACTGCTGACCTTTGGGAGGTGGGGAGCGGAGTTGTTCTTTGACCTTACCTGTTCCTCTATCCAGCGGCGTGCTGTCATCCCGGCTTCTGTAGTGTCGGCACTGGGCTTGACAGCCGGGTGCCAAGTGCACATGCGCAAGAAGCGGTGCTTTTTGTGAATGGTAAGGCGGTACCTGGGACACATGACAGATCCCAGAAGCCGCAGGACCAATCACAAAGCGCAAGTGCTTCTCGCTCATGCACACTGGGCACCCGGCTGTCATGCCGAGCGCCGACACTACAGAAGCCGGGAAGACAGCGCGCGGCTGGATAGAGGAACAGGTAAGGTCAAAGAACAACTCCGCGGAAGTAAGAGCGGGTACCTGTCAAATTCAGGTACCCGCTCCCCCCCTCCCCAAAAGGTCAGCAGTCATCTCCTGTACTGTCCGCAGTCTCTGGTCATCCCTGTGCTGTCCGCAGTCTCTGGTCATCCCTGTGCTGGCCGCAGTCTCTGGTCATCTCCTGTTCCGTCCGCAGTCTCTGGTCATCCCTGTGCTGGCCGCAGTCTCTGGTCATCCCTGTGCTGGCCGCAGTCTCTGGTCATCCCTGTGCTGGCCGCAGTCTCTGGTCATCCCTGTGCTGGCCGCAGTCTCTGGTCATCCCTGTGCTGGCCGCAGTCTCTGGTCATCCCTGTGCTGGCCGCAGTCTCTGGTCATCCCTGTGCTGGCCGCAGTCTCTGGTCATCCCTGTGCTGGCCGCAGTCTCTGGTCATCCCTGTGCTGGCCGCAGTCTCTGGTCATCCCTGTGCTGTCCGCAGTCTCTGGTCATCCCTGTGCTGTCCGCAGTCTCTGGTCATCCCTGTGCTGTCCGCAGTCTCTGGTCATCTCCTGTACTGTCCGCAGTCTCTGGTCATCTCCTGTACTATGTCTGCAATCCATTAGTTCAGAATTTTTTTTTCCCTGTTTTCTGCCTCTAAAACCTAGGTGCGCCTTATGGTCAGGTGCGTCTTATACGGCGAAAAATACGGTATTTCTTCATGTGATATGTGTGTACATGCCTGTGCAATCAATGCTGACTTGGCCACTTACAGTCACAATCAGAAGTGCAGGTTACAGGGTGGCAACGCACAACAGCATTTGGGAGCAGGGGGAAAATGTGGTCAGCCTATAACAGGAGTCTGAAGAAGACCCGTTTTCATGTTAGAATTGCCAGCTAATATATTGTAATGACAGCCTCAGATTAAGCTTATAAAAAAATAAAAAAAAAAACTTGAAAAGTACTTTGGGAACACCTTAACATATCAAGGTTTCTATGTGATTTTAGTGATTAAGTTTGCATCCATCTTAAATACAAAGCTCAGCACACACAATTGCTTGTTATACATTTTTGAAATTCACATGCATTTTACTTACCATAATAGTTATTTCTCTCTTGCAAACATTAAGGTCAGGCACATTGTTGACATACATTCTCTTCAGAGCACAACGCATCCCCCCATGAGTGCGCACCAAAAACACAGTGGAAAAGCCTCCTGCAGATAACAAAAACACCATGAAGATATTCTTCCCATTAAGACTACAAAATGTAATGAGTCAGTACAAGAAACCCAATTCAATTCTCATAACCAAATGCATTTTTTAAAAGAACCATAAAATTATTTCAAACATTGGATTGATGAAAATAAAAAGTTTCTTATTTTCCAAAACTGGTGGATCTATATTATACATTTATCCTGACCTTCTATTATACCTACAAATCGAATAGCTTAAAGGTAGCTGTAAATTCAAAATTGTTTGTTAAATAACAAACATGTTATACTTACCTGCCATATGAAAGAGAACTGCACAGAGCAGCCCCGATCTTCCTCTTCTGGGGTCCCTGCCGACATTCCTGGCTCCTCCTCCTCTCGTTGTGCCACCTTAGAAAGCGGATTCCTATTTTGGCAAACCTGTAGGCTCAATCCCAAGCTGTGTCCATAGATGCAAGCCTGCATTCATAGATGCAGACAGCAGCCGCAGCCCAACCAACTGCTCCTTTGTACCGTGGCTTCAACTGCCTCAGCAAAGCCTGTGTGAACAGGGAGAGAAGACAGAGCTGCTACAGATGGGCACAGCGCTGGATTGATTGAGTACTCAGGTAAGTGTAAGGGGAGGTGAGCGGGTGATACAGGTGCTAGAACATTTTTTCCCTTAATGTACCCATTCCTGCCAACTGGATTGGCAGCACTGCCTCTGTTACTGAAACCCTCCCACTGTGAGCTGCAGTGCCCGGGAGGGTGGAGTATATGAGACACAAATGAAACAGGATTTTCCCCATTCTGGAAAAGTAAAGACCTTTTTGTTTACTTTGAGGCATCATCACATCACAGTAACTAGGAATTTGTTTGGACAATCATACAGGAGCCTTTAGTTGTATGTACAACAAATACACAAAGAAAGACCAACTGAAACCCATTGTACCCATTGAAATCTCATGATTTTGACATTCAAATCCTTAAAAAGGACACTATTGGGTGTTTTATCACTGAAGTCTGTAGTTGCTCTAAAAAAAGCAAAAATTAAATGCAGATGAAATGTAAAGACAACACTAATATTACCAGACAAGCATAGCTATCAGTGTGTTGGACAAGCCTATAAACTGCAATAGATACTCTAGCTGTGATATGATCTAATGGTGGACTACTAACAGGGAAATAAAAAATACTTCTACAACACGATCACTACATGCTGAGATTATGTGCTAAACAATAAAATACAGAAAGAGTTCCCAGAGCGTGCTTTTGCTGTATGAGATTATATTTCCCTGACTTTGTAAAAGATCAGAAACTTAAAGCTTGCAGTTCCCTCAAGCTAAATAAAACTAACTCTTGGTCTAAAAAATATTCCTTGTGTTAGTGAAACCCAAGTTGTTAGGCAAAAGAATTTCAACAACAAAAAAAAAAAATCTTAGTTACCACATCAGAAGTGACATGGCTATTCTCCTGTACTGAAAGTGTTCTCTTCATGCATAACTGCTTGCAAAAAATTATGTCTGAGTGGCCCTAACGGAAGCGTGTGAAAATTAAGGCCTGAGCGTCCCATGATAATGACATCATTTTCTTCCCAACACTTGGAAACAGCTAAGATAAAAGCTCTAGCATATACCATAATTAAATTTTTGTATTTTACTTTCTCTCAGTGGCTTGTTTTTTTTTTTTTTAAATTGGACCACAAAACTACATAAATTTTTACAAATTACTCAAGTTCCGTTGTTACAGCAACACATTAATCGTGAATGCGTAACAGAAATGTAATATTTGTATGGCACAAGGATAAGTGTACTTTTATAGAATGATCCAATATTGAAATAGGCAGTTCAAAAATGTACCATTTAAACATTATTATTATTATACAGGATTTATGTAGCGTCAACAGTTTGTGCGGCGCTTTGTAATATAACGGGAGACCGTACAATTACAATACATTTCAGTACAGAAGGAATAGGAGAGCCCTGCTCGTGGAGCTTACAATCTAAAGGAATTACCCATTGATTATTATTACAGGATTCATATAGCGCCAACAGTTTGCGCAGCGCTTTACAATATAAGGGAGACAGTACAATTACAATACATTTCAGTACAGAAGGAATAGGAGAGCCCTGCTCGTGGAGCTTACAATCTAAAGGAATTACCCATTGATTATTATTATACAGGATTCATATAGCGCCAACAGTTTGCGCAGCGCTTTACAATATAAGGGAGACAGTACAATTACAATACATTTCAGTACAGAAGGAATAGGAGAGCCCTGCTCGTGGAGCTTACAATCTAAAGGAATTACCCATTGATTATTATTATACAGGATTCATATAGCGCCAACAGTTTGCTCAGTGCTTTACAATATAATTTTTTCATTCTTGTAGTTCCCCTGTTTGAACAGTTTAGTAAACAAAATCTCCATATACAAGTCTGTTTTATGACTGCATTGAATAGTAGCAAATTATTATAAGGTTGTGATTATAGTTGTATAACCTTGTCTTTGTTTACTCACTTACCTTCAATATATGCAAGGTCATTTTAAACTGGTGTGGTAGATTTGTGTAAAGGGTGTGTCAGAGTGATCGAGGTAATACATCACTCAGTTCAGTGAAAGAATAACTCCATAGGGATTAACAAACTAGGAGCTCATTCAAGGGGGTGCGCTACATAAGTATAAATATTTTGCCTCTCATTTCCAGTTTAACCACTTGCCCTTCAGAGGAAAAACCCCCCTTCTTAACCAGGCCATTTTTTTGCGTTCTGGTGCTGCGTTACTTTAACTGACAAATGCGCGGTCATGCAACGCTGCACCCAAATGAAATTTACGTCTTTTTTTCCCCACAAATAGAGCTTTCTTTCGGTGATATATGATCGCCTGTGCATTTATTTTTGCGCTTTTAAAAAAAAAAAAAAAGACCGACAATTTTGAGGAAAAAAACAATAATTTTTGACTTTTTGCTATTAAATATGTCCAGTAAAAAAAATAAAATAAATAAAATTTGTGTCATAAATTTAGGCCAAAACGTTCTCTGCTACATGTCTTTGCCAAAAAATAAAATCTCAATGCGTGTAAATTAATTGGTTTATGTGAAAGTTATAGCGTTTACAAATGGCAGTATACACAGTGAAGGAAATATGTATTTGATCCCCTGCTGATTTTGAATGTTTGCCCACTCACAAAGAAATGATCAGTCTAAAAATCGAATGGTAGGTGTATTGTAACACTGAGAGACAGAATAGCAACAAAACATTCAAAAGAAATGCATGTCTAGCAAATGTCTGATTGATTGCTCCTGTGGACAGGTGTCTTTTATACAGGTAACAAAATGAGATTAGCAGCACTCCCTTTAAGAGACTGCTTCTAATCCAAGCTTGTTACCTGTATGAAAGACATCTGGTAGCTAGAAATCCTGCTAAATGATAGGGGATCAAATACTTATTTTCCCAGATGTGTGCAAACCTGGTGGCCGACTACAGGAAATGTCTGACCTCTGTGATTGCCAACAAGGGATTTGCCACCAAGTACTAAGTCATGTTTTGTGAAGGGGATCAAATACTTATTTCCCTCATGAACATGCAAATCAGTGCATAATTTGTTAGACATGCATTTCTTTTGAATTTTTTGTTGCTATTCTGTCTCTCAGTGTTACAACACACCTACCATTCGATTTTTAGACTGATCATTTCTTTGTGAGTGGGCAAACATTCAAAATCAGCAGGGAAGCAAAATACTTATTTCCTTCACTGTATACTGGGATTTTTTTTTTTTTTTTAAATTTTCACTAGTAATGGCGGCAATCAGCGTCTTCTAGCAGGACTGCAGTGGGCATTCTGACACTGGGGTTAACTGACTTGGTGTTACTGACATCCCCAGTGACACCAATACAGTGATCAGTGCTAATAAAAAGCACTGACACTGTAATAATGGTACTGGGCAGGAAGGGGTTAATGTGGGGCAATCAAAGGGTTAACTGTGTGCTGTTTTACTGTGTGGTGTGTGTGCGTGCTTCACTGTAAGCACACTGCTTTGTATGGCTCTGCTGCCCTGTAGCAGTATTACTGCTATAGGGCGGAATGGGTTGTTATACCAGGTAAGGGTTTACATAATGACTGAGAAGTGACATCAAGTAATTTCTTTATTAGGAAAAAAAACATGTTTGTAAATATTCTTACCAAGGATATTCAAGCTGTGGGATTCCCAAGTTATAGTTTTCATGTTTTAAATCACCAGTGGTTTTTACAGGTGGTCCTACATTGGCCTTTTTCAAGGTAATTTAATATCATCTCAGTCAATGTTATGTATGGCCTGCCCTAAACGTTTCACCAATGAGAAATAACTCTTCAGACAATAAATGTGAAAACTGCAACCATTTGAAAGTTTCATCGATATGGCGGAGAGCGGATCTACACTGCATCCCAGCACCACAAACCAAAAATGCTTTTTAATTCATTTTTCATATTCAAAGCAAACTTCCCCATCCATGTCTCTACGATTTATTTTGATGAGAAATTACTTTCAAAAACACCCTGCAGCATTTTTGGCCGTGGCCATCTTGAGTAAGGACAAATGATTCATGTAGAATTTACTTCCAGGAATCCATCTGTCCTTTGCTCAGGCATGCAGGCAGGAGGGTGTGCTTACCTAAAAAAAAACCTCCCCCTTCCTGAAGACTCCTGGAATGTTTGACATTTGCCTAGGCATGGAAACCAGAAAGTATTTAAAAAATACATTAAAAAAAAAAAAAGTTTAAAACAAGTAAATATGATATGATATCTATTGACTAATGCTAGGGGCATAAAGGGGCAAAACAGTCGATTTTGAGAGTGAAGATCAGCTTCAAAATGAACTGCTGAGGACAGAAATATGGAGTCATTACAGACTTCTACTGGCTGTATGCTAGCTCTAGTGACTTTTAGCTGGACTTCTGTAACTTCAGTAAAATGTATTAATTCTGAAAAAAAAAAAACATGTTACTCTTATCTAAAAACAGTACAGGCCCAACAGACATCAGTCAGCTGGCTTATCTA